GGCAGAGCCCCAGGTGAGCCCCATCTCCTGCGGGAGAACTTCTGCTCCAGGCCTCACACCTCCCGGCTCTCAAATCCTCCCACTTGTGTGTCCACTCAACAGATGAGCTCACCAAGGCCCTGGCTCAGGACGTGGGGTCTGCGGTCCGCTAGCCCGGATTCAGGGCTGCAGTTCTCCTCACCCCCCAACAGCGGCTGTGCCGCGTGCAGAGTTCCACTCAACCTCCCTGGGACTTGGTTTCCTCAACTGTCGAGTGAGGACAACGGCGTTCCCTATGCTGTCCACCTGCCGGGAGGCAGCGTCCAGTTACCCCAGCTGATACCTGGCATGCGGCCAACTCTGGCTTAACACCCAGCCTTGTGCGAGTCTGCCACTGTCCCAACGCTTAGGGTCTTGGCAGGGGAGACCGTCGACTCGCAAACTGAAAAACAGGAATTTGTTAAATGACCAAGTGTCCAATGTTAGAGCACCAAGAAGGTGGGGTGCCAGGTCGCCAGGGACAGCAGCATGGCATCGCTGTTGGAGCCCCCCTCCGGGCCAGGTCTGTGGACCCAGCTGCTCGTGCGTGGGGCTGGGAGCTCCAGGGAGCTCCTGCTCTGTGGATGAGCCATGAATCCCGCTGTGAACGTGCTCATTCCTGCCACCGGCAAGCCTGGCCGCAGACTGGAGGAACACTTGCGCGCCCAGACCCTCTCCGGGCGATGGTCGGCATGAAATATCGGGGCCCCAGCACAGCTCTGCTGGACACCTCCTGTTCAGGGGCAGCAACAGCCAGGCCACTGGGAAGGGCGGCCTCCAAGGCTCGTTGGTCCAAACGACGTGGAGAAGCGGGTCGAGAGCCCTCCTGAGAGACGGGCCAGGATCCGAGCTTCTGGTGCGCGCCTGCAGGAGGAACCTCGGGCTCCCTGCTCCCGATGTGCAGCGTAAACACGTTAGCTGGACCCGGATGGAGTCCCCACGGCTCCCCACCTCCCTCTGAGAGCGCTCCCCAGCGGGATGAGGAGGGGGTGAACCCCGCGGGCTTTACTCCCCACCAACGGCTCTCTCCACGGTCGGACACTGGATGCTGAGCGGGTCTCCCGGTTTGTCTGGGTAAACTTCTCTCTTCTTCCACGCGTAGCTAACACACAACGCAAGATAAGAGCTCTGATCGCGTTCAGCTCTTAGGAGGGCGGTAACTATGCCTCCCCACCTCTGCTGGCCGAAATCGAACGTCACTTCCACAAAAACACAAAGTGGAAAGTTTACAGATTGGGCACCCAGACCCTGCAACGGCGCGTCATCACTGCGAGCCGTCCAACGTGCTTGCTGGCGCCACGAGCCTCGGCGTTTCAGAAGCCCACGTGAAAGAAGGTGCCCGGGCCACTCTCCAGCCTTCCACCAAATACAATAGTAAAGAACAAAGAATTAAAAAAAAGTTTTTGTTGGGGCACCTGGGTGGCTCAGTGGGTTAAAGCCTCTGCCTTCGGCTCGGGTCATGATCCCAGGGTCCTGGGATCGAGCCCCGCATCGGGCTCTCTGCTCAGCAGGGAGCCTGCTTCCCTTCCTCCTCTCTCTCTTCCTGCCTCTCTGCCTACTTGTGATCTCTGTCTGTCAGATAAATAAATAAAATCTTTAAAAAAAATAAAATAAAATAAAGTATTTGAAAAGTAAAAAATAAAACAATAAAAGCCCGGAAAAGCAGCAGCAATAATCTTTGAGGCAGCTGAGGTCCTCTCGGCGCGGCTAGCAAACTGAAGCATAAACACATTTAGGCTGAAGTTGGTCAAACATCTGGCTGAGTCCGTTTTCTAGAAAACAATCTCGCCCCAAACAAGCTGCTTCATATACGTGACGTCTGAAAGTGCTTTTCCTTGCTGGGTTGAAACCTGAAGTATTTTCAGCTAAGCAAGAAAATGTTCGCCATTGGACGGCCTAGGAGAGCTGTCACGAGCATGATTTCTGGAAATAAATACAATCGTAAAAAGGTTGGCCCGAGCAGAAATGTAAGTCCACGTGAGTAGCTGGTGTCATTAAATTGTCCCTTCAGCCAAGGTGCCAAGTGACACAAATTTTTTCGAGTCCATTCCAACACGATCGCCTGCCTGGATGTGCACGAGCCTGAACAGATCTCGCTCCAGAAATCACTAATTTTATTTTCTCCAGGGTCCATGTACGCGCTCTGCTCTGCCTGCCAGCCAAGTATTTGGGACAGACAAGACCCTATTTTCTCCGGACCCGTTCGTGAAGTTTCCCTTGATACAGACGTGGCTCAACAGATACTGTCTACGTTTCGTGGGTCAGTATCTTGCTCGAGAAAATTAGAGCTAAGTTTCAGGAGGATTTGTTTTCATTTTAACTCTTGTTTGCTGGTCACTGACACTCAATACTTACATGGCTTTCGCCCCAAAGGGCAAAGTCTTTAAAGCAGAACAGAATTTAGTTAAACAGCTGGGTTTCCTGCACAATCATCGTAGTAACACGGACACTTACGGGCGGTGGGTCACTTGCCCAGTTCGTAAACACAGACAGGTAGAAAAGCCTGCACGTCATTTGGTTAATTTTTTTTTTTTTTTTTTTTTAAAGAAGATTTTATTTATTTGAGAGAGAGAGAGAGCGCATGAAAGGGGCGAGGGGCAGAGGGAGAAGCCAGCTCTCTGATGAGCAGAGAGCCTGATGTGGGACTTGATCCTGGGACTCCAGGATCATGACCTGAGCCGAAGGCAGTTGCTTAACCAACTGAGCCACCCAGGCTCCCCATTTGGTTAATTTTTAAAGGACAATACGTGATTTACACGAGGAAGGCGTCCTACTGTGCTGCATGGACCCGTTCCTACGTCTTTAAACAGGGCTTCACATTCGGAGTCAAATGAACCCCCTTGCCATGTTTTCATTTTTCAAAAACACGTGATGACGTCACTTTTAGGAACCAAAGGTAAGCCTTTCTGTCGGCATTGGGCTCTAATCTGTTTCACGCAGTGTCAGGTGCACGCTGTTTCTTTTCAAATTAAACAACGTGGCAAGTCATTACCCAAGACAAATTAAGGAATCACAGCGTCTGTCCCACGAAGAACCAAGACGCTGAAATCATCTGAAATTGTCTTCATCTGAATTTTAGCAACACACAGGTTGAAAACGTGCTCACCGGGTTCAGGGGTTCTCTCTAGCAAGAGATGGGGGCAGAAAAATGTCTGTTCTCGAAATGAAGTGGGAACCGTTCTCGGTGGCACAGAGGCGAGGGCCACCCCGAGACCTCTCGAGAGAGAGGACGGTTGAGAAGCTCTAGGACGCTGGCGGCACCGGCACAGCAGGCACTGGCAGGACCAGACCGGGGTCCGGGCGGGCATTCCCACGCGTGTTCCTCACCCCCAGCAGAAAAGCCTTTGTTGAGAAGGTGAGACTCGGAGCCCCACTCCCTGCACAGCCTGGTTTCCCGCGCCCGTCCGCACGCGCACAGGCGACCTCACATGTGCGCTCTGCCCGAATGCCACGGGAGGATCGAGAGGGGTCAGTTCCCCCCGACACATAAACAGGCAGCAGATCTAGAAACACCCGCGAAGCTTCCTCCATCGCTATTGTGAACGTTGCGGGGAACGTTTCCTCGTAGGCTGGCCGGCGCCTCTTGGGCCGCTTGGGGAGGGTGAGGCTCCTGCGGTTAGCTTTGGGCTCCGATACTCCCCGCACTCCCACGGTGCGGCACGTTTCAAGCGAAGCCTCAAACACTCCCTACTCCGTACGTTTCCCGCGGACTGGACGCGCCCCAGGGGAGGTGAAGGGGGACCTGGCCGGGACCCCTCCAGATCTGGGGCAGAATCTCAGCATCTTCCCCACCCCCCAGGCCGGGGACCACTCCAGAAGTAACAGCGCCATCTGCCGGGCAGCCGGGGAACCGCGCGGGAGGCCGAGCCGCCGGCCCCAGCAGTCCAGCTGGAGCCCGCGAGATCCCTTTCGGTCGCACCGCGCCGGCCTCATGGGCGGGAAGACTGTGTGGACCGCACAGTCTAGGCGAACGCACCGGAAAGTGGCAACAGCCTTCTGGCTCTGGTGGGCAGAGATTTCAAACACACTCTGGCCCATCCCCTTAGCCTGCGACCCCCAAATTGAGGAGGTGAAAGAAAGGGCATCGCTACGTTTAATTTCTAAGACTTCTGGATTAGTTATGAATATCTGGGGTGAAGATTTATTTTCCCAGCCGTCAGCACCCCTCTTTCCCTCCCCACACTTCCCCGGGGCTGGGCAAGAAGGGGACACGGACACACACACGCACGCACACGCGCACACACACGCACACACACTCACGCTCACATCCCCCCTCGGGGTTCTTTAACCTGACAAGGCTTCGCAAACCCAAGAGCCCAAACCTGGGATAACCCAAATATTATTCTGAATCCTTTTTCTCAGGCACTTACGCACAACAACTACCATTTTTGAAGTTTATGTAACTTTTCCTTATAAATACAATCCTGTTCTGATCCCCTATTTCTGGATTTTTCTTATGCAAATAACCGACTTGCTTTTCTCCTTCTCCCTGTTCCTAACTGATCTTCCTGATTTGCCTTGAAATTTGAGCATTAAGTGCTTTCTCTTGGTAATTAAAGGCAGGGTATTCTTTTCAGGAGAGAACTGCATTGTTTTACAATTGCCCACACTAATTAGAATAGTTTCATGGAAAAAAGTCAGTTGCGGCCTAGAGTGTGAACATTTTTTTTACTATCCTTACAACATTTGACAAAGATGTTCAGAAGATTTTAAAAAATAAACAACTTACATTACATGAAAAATACAATTAAATTTATTAAGTATCACGAGGCACCCATTTTTAAAGAGAAACATTTTTTTACTGCACCTTATTTTTCTTTATTACACATCATAAAAATTTTTTAAGCGTCCTAGGAGCCTAAAGTCAGGCTTGCTATTACGTTACAGTCAGGAATTACTTCATTTCATGCATAGATTCATTTCACATACGTATATGTGGGCATAACCAAAGTATTTACATTTTGTAACTTAATTTCTCACTCAGTAGAGTTTGAAAGATCTGGACATTATAAAGGCAAACTCATTTTCTGCTGGAATGGAATGAGAAAATGAAAATTTTAAAATTCATTTTATTAGGTAAATTCAGTAGGGACTCACTGTTCGCCCTGAAATAAACCAGTTTGCTTCGTTGACTTTCGCCATCTTTCGGAGCCTTAAAATGAAAACTGGAGTCACGGCCGTGGCTGAGCTCTGCCCCCTCCCCTTTCCCATCCACGTTCGTACAGACATCACAGAGACTCCTCTCCTAACAGTCAGCGTGGTGCTGCGGGCTGAAGGAGGGGTTCGTGGTGGAGCCCCACAGAAGGTTAACTGGCAGAGAAAGACATGGGAGGCAGGACAGATGGACGGACAGGGTCAGAGCATCGCTGGAGGAAGACTGGGGAGTACTCACAATTTCCAGTGCCTGCTGCTGTCTGTCTCCCGGTCCCGATTCCAAAAGGAAATGTGGCTCTTTTGTGCAGAACCAGAAATGAACATCCAGGAAGTTGGCAAAATCACTAGCTAAACAATTTAATAGAGGAAACACAACAAAATAAATTGCCAAATTTGGTTTTTGTTTGGTTGGGTTTTTTTTCCTCCATAAAGGAAAAGAAAAAGAGTAAACAGGAGGGTGGCAGGAAAGGACCTATTTTATTTTCCCCAGTGAGAGCGAGCCGGGCCCCAAGTGGGCCTGAGCGCGAACCTGGGTATGTGCTCTCCTGCACCCACGTAAGGGAGAGGACCAGCAGCTGACTCAGAGCTGGGGCTCGCGGCAGACTCCGAGAGTCTGTGCGAGTTGTCCGAGTTCCTGCCGCAGATCTGAAATGAGTTTTCCTATGAAAATACACTTAAAACTCAGCGACCCCCACCCCTCACGAATGCCTTCAGTGACAGGAAATGTTAACCATTTTAAGCACTTTTTATTTGCATTTGCTTCGAGGCTGAAGGAGCGAGGGAGAAATGTACCCTTAATGGTAGGTGGCGACGGGACTGGGAGGTGGGGGTGAGCCGGCACGTGTGTTTCTGGGCACGGGGCGGGCATCCTGGGTCCGAGTGGGCCCCAGACGGCAGCGACTCTGCCACGCACTCCCACAGAAGGAGGACAGGGTTTGCGTGTTGTGGAGAGTTGTATCCCGAATTCCCCTGTGTTGTTGATAAATGAGAAGGCAGTACCCTTCCAACCCCCAGCTGGGGAGGGTGAAGGAGAGGCCCCAGCTTGCAATGTTTGTGGTGCCGAGACGTGTTTGTGTGAGTGTTTTCTCCCTGGGATCAAAAGGGGGGAAAAAAGATTTTTTCCCCCAAATCAACCAAACACTGCAGCTCAGAAACACAAGGAATGTGTACAACACTGTCCTTCAGAAATCCATCTTGAATTTTTTTAAAGCCCTCTCTTTGATCAAAAGCCGACAGAGAATTACATTTTCCCTCATTCTGTTGCATTTAACGGGGACTCACACGGGGTGAGTTTAAACGAGCAGGTGGCCCAAGCATGAATGCTCCTTTCAGTTCAGCAGGGGAGGTGGGCTGGCCCCAGGGGCCGAACGGCAGTGCGGATTAGTTACAGGGAAGGGGCAAAAGCTGCCGCGTCTCAGGGGCACTTAAGACCAGAAGAAACCCGTGACGAGCACCCTGGACACTACCTCTGCGCACTGGGCTGGGGCCTCTCGCAAGAGCACAGGGTAACGGCAAGTTCTTCTGCAGGAAGGCAAACGGCTGCTGCTTCGTCCACGGGTGTCAAGTCAGGAAAACAAAACCCTTCAAAGTGTATTTCAGGAGATCATCGCGTGCCCCACGAGGGCACAGTAGCGCCCCCCACCCCTGGGAAATCCTGCACCGGAGCCTCCCTCTAGCTGCCTGGGGAGGCAATGGGACACTGAGAAAGGTCCACAGGAACCAGGAGCATGCACACAGCTGGGCACACATCCCAGGGCACGTGGACACCCTGAGGTCACAGCTAAGAGCCACGTCATTGTGTCTCCCCTGGGTTGAAGAACCGAGGAGCTGACCAGTGCCCATGTCTGCGTGGATGCTCCCCCCAACCTCAGCCACCCTTCAGACCTCCCCACAACAGTGCACAGAGCCTGCAGAAGAGGGACGGACTGCCTCCCTCCTGCCCACGTACCAGGTGTTACAAGAAGTCCCCAGATCCCAGCCAACTGTCTGGATGACACCCGTGAGTGGGCATCAGGGCCAAGCGGGTGGTAAGACGGTCCAAGACAGCGCGTCCACGTCCCTGGTACTGCAGGCACGAGGAGCATAAGCTCTCCTCCGAGTTCCTGCTCCTCTGGGCTCCAGGTGGGCGGCTGGAAAGAAGGGAAGGAAGGTACAGGTCTCGGGGAGGAGCTGACCCGTGATTGAGCGTGCCCTCGGGGGCGCCGTCAATTAGAGAACATGCGCTTCCTGGAAGCTCGAACCGGAGGGCAGGAGCTGGGACACCAGCTGCAGACACCGACAGGGCCGGGCTGCCGTGAGCGTGCTCGGGGGCCTCTGGCCCCAGGACCCCACAGCCCCACCCTGGTGCCTCCCATGGCTACCTCTCCATCCCTCAGGCTGCTAAGCTGACCTGTGTCCCCGAGCTCATGTGCTCAGAATCCCGCTCTCCAGGCATGTCGGGACTGACGCGGCCCCGCTCCCGGAGGGACACAGTCCTGACAAGCTGGCGAAGGCAAGAGAGCCCACGGGAGGAGGAAGACAAAGAATGTTCTAGAAGGGCACAGAGTCCAGACCCTGGGCCAGGACACAGCACCCACTTCCTCTTCTACCGGTGTTTCTCTGAAACACAGACAATGAACCAGGGGCGGGAGGAATGCGTGTGTAAAGACACTGTGGAGACTGCACGCACGCGGACCTCCTCTTGGTCACTCATCTGCTTAAATCCCAGACGATTTCCTTCTTTTTTTTGACACGATTTTCTCCCCTATTCTCACAGAGCTTCCCTCCTTAATGCAAGCGAAGGTATTTCCCACAGCCCGGGTGCTGGAATGTTCTAAAATGCTAACATCGACACATTTCTACTTCATTTTATTACAGAAACGTTATTTTATGGCACGGAGTGTGTGGTGTGTGTGCAGAGCAGGCAAAGGGGGGGCTCCCCTACAGCACGGCCCGCGGTGCCGCTGCATCATATAAATCCTGAGAAGTGACAGTCAAGCTGGCAGGAGAATTTGGGAGACCAACAGACAAAATATACAGTGCAGCCCGTGGGCCTCACCTTTACAAGGCAGAGAGAGCTTCTGGAATGGGCGGGCCAGGACCTCCGGGGCCGCTCGTTAGGTCGCGATGAATTGGACAGGGGCCCATTGCCCTCCTGGGGCAGCGAAATGTTCGAAAACCGAGTTTTATTAACCTAATAAAAAGAAGAGGGGGGGGGAAAGTCAGGGAAATTTCATCTGGAAGAATGACAGGAAGCACAGTAAGTTAACCTACTTTTAATATATTTGGAACAACTCTGGCGGACAACAGCCGTTCCCACAAAGCCCCCGCGTTACTGATGCTGGCTTTCAGGTGAGTGGTCGGCAGTGGGCTGCGGCCGTGTGGAGATGCCCAGCGATGCCTTGCTCTTACGTTCTTACGAATGAATTACAAACTGGTGCTTTTTCATCTTCTCTGACGCCAAAGCCAGGGAGTGCCAGAAGGAACAATGGCAAGAGGACGTCTTTGGGGGGAACGGGCGTTCTGGAAAAGGTAGTGAACACTGCCCGACCCTGGCCAGGACAGGAATGTCATCAGCACTCGGGGATCTGAGCACGCCCACCTCAGGGAGCAGAAATCTGAGAATCAGAGAAAAACACGTCCAGGGCACGCAGCAGTGGCAAGGTGTCCTTTATTCACAAATACCTTCAGAGACCCTCCCCTTTGGAAGTGGGGGCTGGGAGGCTCTAGTTGAAGAAGAAACTAGCTCCGGCCAAACCTCCCTTCCTCTCCCAGACGCGTGCGCAGCGGCGAGCGGCCAGGTCAGTCGGCCAGTGTTGTTTGTACCTGAGAACATGCCTCGTCCGGCCAGGGTACCTGGCCTGGCCCCCCATTCACTTCGCCCAAACCTCCAAAAGACAGGAGAGCTTTATCATTTCCGGATCCCAGAGGCAAAGGCTGCTGGCGGCTCTGGCCCATGCAGTGCCGGCGCGCGGGAGCAGGACGCGTGTCAGGCCCAGACATGTCCTCAAGAAGAACATGCCACGGAGGGAAGCTGCCTCCTGCCGGATCCCTGGTTGGGGGCACACCAGCTCAGAGCTGGCCTTGTGGCGCCGTCTCCCATGGGGCAACGTGTGCACAGAATTACCCAAAGTCGCCCTCGTGAATCAAGGAGGGAGGTGCGGCCCTACTCAGCAGGGACGCACACCCCCACGGCCATGCCTTTCTGTTTTAATCTAAGATACGTGTACCACTAACATCACGCATGCATACGCAGACCCGACTACCCTCACTCCTCCTGGAGCCACGTCGGCCCCTGGTGTCTCTCCTGTGGTCCGGGAATGTGCGCAGCCCCGAAAACAAGGACAGCTCTGTTTCTTAAAAGCTGCTTTTACCCTTCCTTGCCATCAGGGGTCCCGGGGGCCATGAGACTGTCCCGTGTGATCCTGTGACTGTGCATACGGGACATCGTACATTTGACAAGACCCGCCAGACGTCCACCGACAGTGACCCCCACGGAAACCACGGGCTCTACCCGATGACGACGTATCCACGTGGCACCAAGTGTGCTGGACCATGCGTGATGTCTGTGACCCGGGAAACTGAGGCGGGAGCAGGACGGGGATGGGGACTGGGCTTGCCACCAGATTTTTCTGCAGACCTAAAACCACTCTAAAACCTGCAGGCTACTAAGAAAAGAGCCTCACTGCTGAAGTGACAGAAGGAATTTCCCTTTGCCTGCTCTCTTCCCCTTTGGTATTTCCTGGGACAGGATTTTCAGAAAGCAGAAAAGTTCAGAACAAAACAAAACAATCCCACCAATGCACAGCTATTTCGGCCGCCTGCTCGGGGCCCTCCTGGCGGGGTCCGGTCTCCAGGACGTTCCCGCAGGCAGGTTTCAGCAGACCTGGGAGCGTGTACGCTGACTTCAACGGTGTCCATTTACCTTTCATTCTCACGCTAACGCCCCGCACCGACTATGGTGACGGGATCACAGTAAATAAACCAAAATCCTCCTTCCGTTCGCAGCTGGTGAGATCCAATTTATGGCTGAATGTCAGCCCGTCCAGCAGGATTACCAGAAGGACTGTCCCTGCCGCAGAGGCGAGAATGTGGGCTGAGCCTGCCCGCGCGCCTGCAAACCTGGCACAGGTCATGGAGGAGGAAACCACCTCGGGGTATAGACTCCAAGGGGACAGCTGACCTGGGGAGCCTCCTGCCTTAACGGGGCCTCCGTGCCAGCCTTTGCTGAAAAGATAGGCCCTGTCCCTGGTAAGAGATGGACAGACAGAGACAGAGAGGGAGAGAGAGGGAAATGGAGAGGGGCTGGCTGTCCACCTGCTGTGCTGGCGGGAGCTGCCATCTGCAGCCCTGGCCCCTGGGAACATGGACGCAGCCCCCCACACCCCGCACCGGCTGGCCCCTGCGGCCCTGGCTCCTCCTGCAGCAGCCATGGGGACGCCACCAGGTGGCGACGGGGCAAACGCAGGTTCCGGTCCTTTGGCTCCCGTGCAGGTTTTTAGCCGGGTGGTTCCATTATCTCAAAGTCTGTGCACCGAGGGAGACGCCACGAACATGTCCCTGCCACCGGTTCCGGGTCTGCATGGTCCCACTGTGTCATCTGAACTCCAGCGTGGGGAGCACATGCCATACCTGACGCCCCATGGAAGGGGCTCAGAGGACCCCGCAATGTGCATGGGAGCCCGTCTCCTGCCCCTGCTATCTCGGATGGGGCAGCCAGTCTCCAAACATCGGTCCCTATCCCCCAGACTTACAATCATACCTCCTCCGTGGGGCTAGGAGGGCAGAGGGGTAGAGGATATCTAGCAGAAAAGACACACTCCCCCGAAAAGAGCCTCGTCGATGTTCAATCTTCAGACAGGACACGTAGGTTGAAGCAACGTCCAAGCACCGGGTCCTTCCCTCCCCACACTTCCTCAGGGTGCTTTTCTAGACTGAGCCATAGATGTCTTTATGGCACTTCTTGGCTGACGGTTGGCACTGAAAGGGAAAAGTGCTGAGCACAGACAAGCGGTCATTGTCAGAGCCAATGTTTGCGGGGGATTCCCCGGGCCTGGTCCCTTTCACGGATCAGAAGTCCAAGTGCACGGCTAGGAAGTGGCCGACCTGGGGTGGGAAACCCACAGCGCGGCCCGTGCGCACCTGCCTCGTGTCCGCCGGCCGCACCGCACCGGGGCTGCCTCCTGCTGAGGGACCCAGAGTCAAGGCAACACGCTTCACCGCACTCGTGTCCTCACCGCACGGGTTTAGGAACAGAAAGGCCAAGGGGAGGTGCTGGAGGTCAGCTCGGCGGCCCCGAACTCCGCGAGGCTGCTCTCCCGGGTGGGTGTGGGGTACAGGGACGCGCCAGTCCAGGGGACGCTCGCCCTGGGAGCCATCTCCGAGCTGCCCTCTCGCATGGAGCCTCAAGGGGAGAGTGAACAGAAGTGCCCCAGGCGGGGTCAGCTTCCCAACCTCGCAGTCAGAGGCCTGCGTTCCTCCCCCTGCCGGAGGGCTGCTTGGCCTTTCGTCTGCCACGCCTCCCCCCTGACACAAGTGCACCCGAGCCCGGTGGGCCTGGGGTCTCTGCGGTTTCGCTCCATCTTTCGAGTCTTGGCTTGGGAGGATGAAAAGCAGCAGCTCTGGCAGGCCTGGCCTCCCCGCCTTCTCCCGCACATGTCAGGACTAAAAATAGCTACCTCCCCAAACAAACGAAAAGCACGACAAACAACGTTCCAGCGGTGAAAGAGAATCCACAGCCGGAGAACCCCAGGCCCAGACATCCGTGATGCATCCATGATGCGGCGCGGAGAGGGTGGCGTCCGAGCTGCAGAGGGCATCAGAAGACCCCGGCCGCCAGAGGAGCTGGGACCGCACCCCTCCACGGCCGTCCACCAGCGCCATCACACAAGGCCCAGGACAGGGCTGGCCCTCACAGGTGTGCGCAGACGGGACGAGAGGCCGGGCCTTGGCCCTCAGACAGAGGCAGGGGACCAGCACAGAATCAAATTTTCTTCTTGCCCGGTGAACCCTTCCCCTCCAGACCGTCAGCTAGGTAACTGTGACCGACAACAAAGAACTTGTTCCCTTCCCTTGGGTTATTCTCCTTTGTTTTCGCAGGAGTAGTTCTCTGCCGACTTGGAACACCTTTGTTTGCTTCCCACTCTGGCCATTCCAACCCACCCACAGGCTGAGTACTTCTTCTTTTCCGAACCCCTCAACACTCTACTGGCTGATTCCCTGACCAGAGGCGCCTGTGGGCTGCCCCTATCCTATTCTGGCCAACCTCTAGGAGCTCAGATGGGCCCCGGTCCACCCCGTGGCCCCTGCTGGCAGAGACTCCAGGGGTTTCCAGCTGGACCCCAAGCGTCCTGCATTGCACGCCCTTCTCCGGGGTCGGAACCCCCTGGTGCTTTCCATTTGTGGGAGCGAGAGCACTCCAGGTTGGATTGCTGGGTCACATTTTATGTGGGCTTCAAATTTCCAGTTGCTGGAAGTTTTCCCCTCTGCACTTGTAGCCATTTTCACAAGCACAGCAACAGAGGACCGGCCACTTCCACCCCCAAAACCTCCGCCATTAGCCCAAGGGGCGCCCATCGTTTATACTTTCATCCGTCTGAACCAACCCTGTATCTCTGTCACGTCTGAGTCTGAAGGAAGTACACGCTGCCCCCTTGGATTAGCTCTGGCTCTAGTTCCCTTCCCAGTTACATGTGGAGGATCCCGGTGGCCAAACGGGGCTTCTGGCTAAGGCAGTCCTTAAGCAGGCCCATGTTCTCCCCACATCTCATTCCACGGGGACGGAAGTGGCCGGATCACTCTTCAGAGGACGCCTCTGATCCAGACCCGCTGTCCGCCTCCGAACACTCCAGCAGATCCACGAGCTGGCCCCTGGTGCACCTGCCCATTTGTGGCCCCCTAAGCAAGGCCCCTGTCACTGTCCTGCAGCGGCCGGCCACGGGAACAGACGCAGAATGCCACACCCTGTACCCCAGTCAGCAAAAGCAAACCGGTCCCCAGCCCTCCTAGAGCTCCGTCCGCTGACGGAAGTGGATACGAGTAAACTCATCACACAGGCGAGAAGCTTCAGCTGCCACACGCGTTAGGAAATGGGGCAGAGACGGGGCGTCTCGAAGTCTCAAACAGTCAAAGCTGATGACCTGACCTGAGAGATCCAGACGGCTTTCCAGCCGAGGAAGCCCCATGGG